TTGGATAAGGGAACAAACGCGTGACAAGGAATCTGCCACAGTGTTGTTTATTCCGGATACATGGCGAATATCTGATGTAAACTGTGAAACGTAATGCAGTTGTCGTGGTTCCCTGGGTGAATACTTATCTGAAGGTGAGTTCAGAGAGTATGTCAGAGGTTTGTGATCAGTAGAATTTATGAATTCACGACCCTCTACCGAATGTCGAAAATGACGTATGGCACAGTTCATTGCCAGAAGTTCTCTGTCGAATGTGCTGTACTTCGCTTCAGCTAATTGAAGGTGCCTCGAGATGAAGGCGAGTGGTTGCCACTCTTTGTTAACCAGCTGTTGTAGAACTGCGCCAATTGCAGCATACGATGCATCAACCGAGATACTTAAAGGTGTTGTTGAATCCTGATACATCAGAATTGTGGTATCCACAATAGCTTTTTTAACCTGAGCAGACGCGCCAAGTTCAATAGACTTGTTATTCCCTTGAAGAAGGTCTGTCAATGACTGAATCAGAGAGGCACAGTTGGGAATAAAGCGTTGACAATAACTTACTAAGCCTTTAAAAGTGGAAAGACTTTCATTGTCTGTGGCTCTGGAAAGTTCAGTATCGCCTCAGCTTTGCTAGCCAGTGGGCGAACACCCTTGCAGTCGATAGTGTGACGCAGGAAGTCGAGTGAGTCAACGCCTATCTCACACTTTCAAATATTTTTGGTTACACGATGTTGGCGTAACCTTTCAAATGCCAGGTCCAGGTGTCTAAGGTGAGTTTTCTCGTCTGGACTGGCAGTAAGGCAGTCGTCTAGGTATGCATATGCAATATCAAGACCGCGAAATACTTCGTCGATGAAGCGTTGAAATGTTTAGGCTGCATTCCGGAGAGCGAATGGCATACGTAGAAATTCAAAAAGTCCGAAAGGCGTAATTGTAGCCGTTTTCTGAACATCTCCTGGTGCAATCGGTAATCGCCAGTAATCACCGGTGGATCGCCAATCTTTGCTATCCTTTTCCAGTACCATATGCAATGGAATGCCCATAGGCTGTTCGAAGGTCTAATGGTGCCAAGGGTTAGCATATGGTCGAACTCATTCCAAGCGATTCTCAGTTTGTCAGGAGCAAGTCGTCGTGCTTCGATGTCAGGGGCTGTCAATGTCCAGGTCTTACTACGCTGGACCTCACGCTGTCCCTGGAAGACTTTCACAAACAGTGTGTATTAACCAACGCGGAAAAGCAGAACACTAATTGGCGACTCAAGAATCTTTTATTCCTGCGCCAATATGTAACCAACAATAGGGTCATTGTACACAAGGTCTAAGAATAAATTTTATAACAATAAATCAGGATAATATTTCTGATAGTTTTCTCTCTTCACTGAACAACGAACGATGAGACGATGACTGCCGTATTGATGACTTCCGCGAAAATTATGGAGGAGTTAGATTTGAGCAAACAACCATGAACTGATCGTTCAATCTTCAACTGCATTGACACGGGATGTTCTGAGGTTATGATGTGGTGTGTAACATTGCTGGTTGTCCAAGGTAGATCGTCAGTCGGCAATTAAATTCCGGATATTTATCAGTCGAAAAGTTCGATCAAGGATTGTCAGTGTAGTTAAAGATTGAACGATCAATTCATGGTTGTTTGCTCAAACCCAACTTCCCTATATTTTCACGGAGGCATCAATACACCAGTCATCGTCTCATCGGTCGCTGTTCAGAAAGAAGATCAAAACCATCAGAAGTAATATCGTAGATTATTATTGTAATATTTGTCCATAGTCCCTAGTTATTGGGCTGATCATATGTTGGTGTTAGAACAAAGAATTCTCGAGTAACCAAACGGTGTACCGGTTTTTGCCTCCGTTAGTACTAGGCGTTTCTGAAAGGCTTCGAGGGACAGCGAGAGGCCCAGCGTAGCAAGAGCTGGGCATTAACGGTTTTTGAGACGTGATTGACAGGGATTGCTTTCTTCTTAACGAGTGACAAGCTGAGGCCTGTGTAGGGGATGTCTTTGATAGACAGACTAGTAGTAGTGTTATCAATCAGTCTTTTTTGAGGGACGTGATGATTAAGTATGTCCTTCCCAATGATGGGCATTCTGGTGTCAGCGAAAAGAAAAATCCACTGAATAGGTTTGCGTAAACCTACGTTCAGGTAGACGTTTCTCCTACCAAAGGTTGCGATCGGTTTTCCATTTTCAGCCTGTAAGTTGAAGGTAGGTTCCTTCTATCGATCTGCTGCTGTAGCAGGAAGGGCGCTGACTTCGGCGCCTATGTCGACTGAATATCGAGTCTGGCTGATCATATCATGGATGCAAAGCAGGCGGCTAGTGCCACCGGAGACGGTTGCCACTAACGCGTGCCGGCACAACAGTTTCCCACAGACTTTGAGACATTTCCGAAATTACAAGGTTTCGGCAATATTTCGCTTCTTGGCCATACATGTTGTAATATCAGCACCAGTCAGGGTTTCTCAGTGACTTTAGATCGACCACGTGAGTTTCTGTGTTGAGGAGAGTTCGGACGACGCTAGGAGGAATTGCAAGGCATGTTTGACCTAAGCATCTGCTGGATGGAATCGCATAACTCTATCACTGCAGTATCCTTACTCAAAGTCTGCTTAGTCATCGAGAATATTTCGGGAACTGACCGTTTAGTTATTTCTAGAATTTTATCTGCGGAAATAGCTAAGTCATCCATAAGAACACCTTGAAGTGCCACAAGTACAGTCTGCACGGACTGTGACAGCTTGGATAAGAGGAGTTCTCTGAAAAGTCCTTCATCGAACTGACTCTGGCCAATGACCTCTCTCATTCTCGTTAGCATGCTTACGGCCGACTGATCCCCCAACTCGATGTTACGAAATAATTCATCCAAACGTTGTCGGTCCGTGAGAACGTTTCTCCTGAGGAGGGATGCTTTGAGCAATTCGTGCGAGTTACTTACCTCGGGACTTGACATCTGCAAAGTTACGCACTTGCTGGATTCCCGCGGTAGGGCGTGAATGACTGCGAGGAACTGTGAACGTTTGAGGGTTATCCTATGCTCACGAAAATCAGACTCAGCTATCTGAAACCACGTTTCAGCATTATCTGGCCAATATATTACGAGCTGAATGACTTTGGAAGTTGGGCGAATGACCTAGGGACACTTATGACGAAACGTACACCGATTAAAATGTAGTACAAACACGAACAAGAAAAGGAACGAACTCACTGGGTTTATCTGCGTATTTATCGAAGATGAAGTTCGCGGTTGGGCTCATCAGTTTAGAGGCTGACGGTATTAACGTTCGCGAATTGTAGGTAGTATACTAACGCAAGATCTTATACTAACGACTTCCATAGTATTCGTTTCTCGTGGACCAAAGGCAAAACAAAAGAGCAGAGCTTATCGTCCAAACTACGAGATATATTTCGGGGCCAAATCGTGGACTGAAGTGGAAGATAAGCTGGCTAGTGATCGTGCACGAAAGTGGCACGACGGAGTACCAAATGGTTAGGATGCTTGACCGGAAGCCTTCGGCTAAACAAGTTGACTTTAACAATGAGGGTCGGCATCCAATGTTCAGTGATGATTGATGTCCTCAATAATTTTGGGGAACTCTCGCATTCTGCATATTATTCTCTATTCAAGAAAGACTATACCTTATTACGCAAGATGTCAAAGGTTGTCAGCGGGGTAAGCAACGTGCCACTTAACCAGCTTGTTAATACTCTGGTTGACAGACACATGGACTCATGTGAAAAATGGGGAAAATCTATCTTATCTAACTCACACAACCCTCTTCATTCACAACTCTCCCCTTGTATCTCATCAGGCAAGTAGACCAGAAGCCTACATAGGAAACTATATATTCACATTAGTAAGTACAAAAACTCAACCATAACCTACTTAGCTCGTGTTCTGTGCTATAAAGAAAGCATTATGCGTGAAACCTATAACTTATTAAATAGTCAGTAGAACAACTGGATCTCGTCTTTCCAACTCATATCATTTATAGGTACAACGTTTTTCTTTCTTTTCCTTTTCTCCCTCCTTTTTTCTTCTGTTATGTGCAGCTTTGTTTCTTTCTTTCTGTTTACGCCAGTAAATATGCTAGAACCTACTTTTCCAACACCTTCTAACACTGTTTAATTTTGGCTTTGCTACCGACATGCTAATGTTGTTGTCAAAACTAACTGAGATAACCTTAATCTATGTAGAACTTTATTTATTGTTAATGTAATAGCTGGATGCAATATTGTAGTAAAGTGCTGAGAATTCCATTCTGTATCACAAGTACTGTTTTGGAATAAAGCTATTATTATCTTACCTTACCTTGCTAAGCCAGAAATAATGCTAGCAACGAAGAAAGGTTGGGTATGAGGCTAGTAACCTCAACCTGTAAAATAAACACTGTTACAGAAACTTCAAGTAACTAGCTTGAAGCCCTGGTGTCTCCTCATTTGCGGATAAATCTTTCGCCTTTTACTAAAGATTTCCCTGGGGAGGCACGATTTTTGTGCGTCGGTGTCACAGTGGTTAGGACTCTCGCCGACCATGCACATGGTCCGAGGTTCGAGCCCTCGTCGACGCAAACCCGATATCTATGGTCGGCCTGCGAATTTTGAGCTACCAATATCCATTCTGAAAATTCCATACTTGTACCAAAAAAGGTGTGGAATCAAGCTGTAATCAAAAATAAATAAAATAAATAAATGTTTTACTGGGGAACGTGGAGGAAAAAAAAGGAGTTCCCATTGCATAGGAGATTGGGCTGCTGTTGGTGGCATCATGATGACCACTTTCCAGAGGTCGGAGTGGCTTGTTGACTCTCTAGTTGCCAATTCGGATAGTCTTTATTGATTTCACCTGCTTTCAAAGACTCCTAGTACCTTTATCCTCTCGTTTGCCGTATTTTGAATTTTCTGTACCGATTCGGTTGATTTTACAGGGTGGGGTCACTAAGCCTGCTCCCAACCTTCCTTTTTTCCCTGGATTAGGATGGGATAGAAAACCAAACAAACCAGGAGAGGTAAAGAAATGCAGCGTAAACATTTAGATGTACAATTTGTCAATAAACGGAAAGGTTTTAACTGTCCGTTACTCATATGTTTGGTTTGAGGCTATTTGGTGCCTGCCTCATTTTTTTCTACACCTTTTAAACATCTGGAACCATTTTGAAATATTATGAAGCCAGCCCTGTGAAGATTATGGAAACCAATAACACATATTTGATATTGAAACGCTAGACGAAGCGCACCAATTGATTTTCTCCCGAACTATGTACAACGGAATAGGGCTCCCGACCCCTCGTGGGAGTGGGACCAATGGATATGTACAAAAGAATTTGGCTTTCATTAATAACTTCAAGGAACAAAATCCGTACAAGACCGATGATGAGATCAAAAGGGCAGATGCAGTGCTTTTCAAGGAACCAAATAAAGAGATATTAGAGCATGAACGGAAACGAAAAATCGAAGTCAAATGTTTCGAAATGGAACAAGAAATGGAGGAACAAGGGTAAGTCGTTTCTTTCTAGCGTTTTCTTTAGCTATACACCAGGGGAAATAGAATTCCGAGTCAGTGGATTCCGTAAGAAATTACTTGACGAGCTGAAAGCAACATCTCAGGGCAGGAAAATTCCCAGTGTCGAACCCTTTCAAATTTCGCAATCGCAAGATGGGAAATTGCTACCAAAAGGAACCCACGAAACAGCTGCCGTAACTATCCTGAAGAATACTGTCTTTAAGGAAGCCCTTGGTATCGGTGGACAGTTTCAAGATGGAAATTCTGTAGAACTGGCAGCACAAAGGAAAAAGGACGACGGAGAAACAAAACGTCTGATAGACGTTCAAAAGGAGTTAAAGTATGTTTCAGATCACTCCTAAAGAGGGCTGTGTACTGTTTTGAGTGATGCGTAATGTGACTCAGAAAGTTGTGTGGTTACGTAATTAATATAAAAATGCTTCACTAAGAACTACATAGTGCGCATGGAAAACACACTAGGCTTTACTCCATATCCTGCATAAATTTGGTCCTCAAGCAGCTTTAACCGGTTACTTGGCTATCAAATTTAGAAACGTTTTTTTGTGCATCATTTTAGCAGTAAGAAATTTCTTGAAGCACTGAAGGAGTTATTTAATTGGTAACTTTCATAGCTCATTGTGATTGGGAAAGCCACTTATATTTCTAACCAGGACATGTCTCGTAATAAACGCCCCGTAATTAAGGGTTGGGAGCCACGTGATTAGGTGGTATCTCACCATGCACGAATCAGTTTGCATAAAGGTCTGCCCATCCGTTCGTCAGGAAGGCTTTGTCTCATTATAATCCTTACAGTCAGGCGTCGCGAATTTTAATTGTGATTAGTGTTCATTATCTTTTATAGCTCTGTGAGACATTAGCTATCTTAAAAACAGGTTCGCACACTACTATAGAGCACGTTTATGGTAGTGTATAATATTTTTGTTTTGCATTCCTTCATGAGAGAAATCTGTCAATTCTAAATCTGGCAAAGATTTAGAAGGTGAGCGCAGTATATTTGGTCCTATTTCAGTGGTTGTTGGATAAAAGATTACTTTTTGAAGTGTGGTGAAAAGCTCACAGCGGTCAAACTTTGTTTTGTGTACACTTTTATTACTGTTTATATCAAGAGTTGCTAGTCCTAAGACCATATGTAGCATTGATATAAGTATAAACCTTGGGCACTGTGGTAGAACGTAACTCCATTATGGATAAGATTTTATTTTGATAAATCACAGTTCAGTAATATTTGCTGATGACGTTTCGAGCACAAGTTACTGTTAATTATCAAGATGAAATCTTATCCCTAATGGAGTCGCTAGTTCTCTTTATTTACTGACATTTTAACATGCAAGGCTATGGCTGGTTGAACTAAGCGCTTAATTTTTAATCAATACAGAAGAAAGTTGTTCAACCATCCTTCTCTCGAAGTCTTAATCGTTTCTATTAAATTGTCAGCAAATTAGTGGAATAATTTGGAAGTATTAAGTGTGCTAATGCAGTATCACTAAGTTTTATTCCGCAACTCTGTCCATGATTACCCACCCTTATGTTTCCAATATATACTAATGGACTTAACCCTAACTCACTTCAGCGACTCAGGGATTGACTTGCTACTAGGGAATAATCTCGTTGACTTAGAATGTGCAGACGATATAGTCCTCCTAGGCGACGACTCTGACAAAATGCAGAGTCTCCTGAACACCTTGAGCCGCAATCTACGAATGTTTGGGATGCGATTCGCTCTCGCCAAATGCAAGATGATGTTACAGGACTGGACTACACCGACTCCTAGGTTAGAAATAGGAAGTGAAGTGGTAGAGCACGTTGACCGCTTCACTTATTTGGGAAGTACCATCAGCCAGTGCCAACGGGTTGATCTCTGACGAAATCTCAGCATGGATTCAGAGGGCTCGTTTCGCATATGCCAGTTTACGCCGACTCTGGCGTAGACGAGATGTTCGACTATCGACCAAAGGGCGGGTGTACTGCTCATCAGTCCGCTCCGTCCTCCTTTATGGTTGTGAGACCTGGCCACTGAGAGTGGAAGACATGAAAAGATTACCTGTCTTTGATCATAGGTGCCTGCATTCTATTTCCCGTGTGAAGTGGTATAATAAGGTGAGCAATATTGAAGTTAGGCGTCGAGTTCTAGGTAAGCAGGAGAAATCAGTCGATGAGGCTGTGAAGTTACATAGACTGAGATGGTTAGGATATGTGTTACGTATGCCAAGTCATCGCCTCCCTCGACGGGCAATGTTAACGGATATAGGGTCAGGCTGGAAAAAAGCTAGCGGCGGTCAAACAAAAACTTGGCACCATTCAATGAAATTCACAACAGTTGGTCTAAGCCACGTAGGAAGGTGTAGACTTCCAGGTTGGGGTCCTCGGGACGGTAAAAATCTGTGGTAGGAAACAGTTGGTGATATGGCTCAAAATCGTTCTCAGTGGCGCAGATGCATCCACTCCTTGTGACTTATTATCTCCAATGAAACTGTTTTGTTCTTCGTTAATACTATTTCTTTGTCTCACACCTCTGCTCACTGTCTCTATTATGCCTTTCTTCTACTTTCTTCTCTTGCTTCGCGTGCTACACGGAGTGTGGCGACTTGAACTTCCGCACATTTGTGCAAAGTTCTATGTCGAAAACAGACAGACAGACAGACTATATTTTGGTCAATGCTCCCTAATCTCAACATGTAAAATTTACTCTACTAGTCACAATGTATCTTGGATGTAAGACTGTAGATAAATTATTCCGAATTTGTATATAGTTGCCATTGTACAACTGTAGTGAGTGGAATCGTCGAAAAAATTTCTTCATTGAATCTCTTGCTTTATAGGCTCCACAAGTTTGTTTCGAATTGGTTGGCGAGTTGAAGTTCAAGCTAAAAGAAGACCGGAACTTAATGAGATTTAGGTCGGTAGACGTTACTGTGATAAATCTGGAGCAGCTCACTTGTAGCATTAAACAGCTTAATACATCTGAGTGAAATTTAAGTCGTTGTCCGGCTGTCATCAGCAATGAAACTGGGCACTGGTTTAACCTGTGATTAAAATCTACTGTGCTTCCTTGTGTAAAGTTTATTGTACAAAAGTGTATGTTTTGAAATCAATGTTTTTTAAGTGTAGTTCACAAAAGAAGTTGTTACGCACTGGTACCTACTATTAATTTCTCAACCACGATTGTGTTCTAGGCTGCATACAGGTGTGAAACAGTCATCCTGAAAATTGGAATTTAAGCTTGCTGCTTCACACCATCTGAAGAAACAGTTAAACTGCAGTTAGCTGTATCTCACTATTACTTTAATCGTTTCGGAGTCAGTGAATACGAAATGACTGTAAGTTCAAAATAAGATTAATTCTTAAATTATTAGCTGGATAAGCATCCCCTCTTTAACGGTATGGAATGTACTTTACAGAGTCGCAATATGTCCTGATATGTTTGAAATTTTTTGTCTAAAGCTGAAAATAATTCTGCCTATCAAATATTTTTCTCAGTTTAATTCCTTTAAGGCTTGTATCTTGAGCTTCGGGATTTTAGTAGCAGTAGTGTCCGGTTTTTACGGGGCTGCGCTGCTTACCTCATGCCCAAACTTCCCTGTTTATCGGGCCTACTACCGGCTAACCGATATGTATTTATTTATTTATTGTTCATTTATTTAAACGCATAAAAATCTTGGTACAATATGGCACCAAGAAGGATGCGCCACACAATAATAATAAAACGACATAGATCAAAAGAAAAAAAACAAGGAAAAGAAAAAAATATACGTCGAGAACGGATAAAGAACTTCATCTGGAAGGAAGACAGTCATGCTTAACAGGTTCAGACAGTGTTCGTTAACTATCATCGGGAAGGGAAGAAGGAAGGAAATTGCAACACGTTCGCCATTGATTACGATTCTTGTCTATATCCGATAACGTTTCGAGGCATCAATTTGAGCTATCCTTAACTGAACGTAACGACTTGGGAATCGACTTGTTACCAGGGAATAGTCTTGTGAACTTAGAATATGCAGATGACATAGTCCTGTTAGGGGAGGATGCTGACAAAATGCAGAGTCTTCTGTACACCTTGAGCAGCAGTCTTCGTATGTTTGGCATGCGATTCGCCCCTACAAAATGCAAGATGCTGCTACAGGACTGGACTACGTCAACTCCTAGCTTAGTGATAGGGAGTGAAGTGATAGAACATGTTGACCACTTCACCTATTTGGGAAGTTGTATTAGCACCAACGGACTGATTGGCGATGAAATCTCAGCACGGATCCGAAAAGCTCGAGCTGCTTTCGCTGACTTACACCATCTCTGGCGTAGGCGTGACATCCGGTTATCAACCAAGGGACGTGTATACTGCTCAGCAGTTCGCTCCGTCCTTCTCTATGGCTCTGAAACATGGCCAATACGAGTTGAAGACATGAAAAGGTTGACTGTTTTCGATCATAGATGTCTGCGATCTCTGTCTCACGTTAGGTGGTATAATAAGGTAAGTAATGTTGACGTTAGGCGTAGTGTTGGGTAAAGAGGGAAAATCAATCGACGAGGCTATAAAGTTACATAGACTGAGATGGCTAGGTCACGTGCTGCGCATGCCTAAGCATCGTCTCTCCCGACGGGCATTACTAGCTGATATAGGTGTAGGTTGGAAAAGAGCCAGTGGTGGCCAAACAAAAACATGGCCTCATCAATCCATGAAATTCTTGACAGTTAAACTGAGTCAGGTAGGGAAATGCAGACTTCCGGGTTGGGGCCCCCGAGACTCTAAGAATCAATGGCTGGAGACAATAGGTGACATGGCTCAAAATCGTTGTCAATGGCGCAGATGTATTCAGTCTCTGTAATTTTTCATATTCCTTTCTACCATTACCCATTCTGTTTCACTCTTATACTTGTCAAACTCTATTGATTCTCTTCGCTCATCTTCTTGTCTACTTTTGTGTGCTATTTGGAACGTGGCAACTCGAACTGGTGCACTTCGGTGACAAGTTCTATGTTGAATCCAGACATCTCTCGGACCCCAACCAGGGAGTCGTGACACACCAACCGATGCTAATCTAGCACAAAAATCCTTCATCCCACGACGCCACGTCATGGACTGACCACCTCTCCGCCTTTTTCACCCCGTCTGAGGGCTAGCGAACAGAGACCTGTACGGAAGCCTCTGGGGTGACATTCTCAGCAAATGTCCAAGCAACCGGAGCCAGTGTTTCCAGATGACGATATTCAATGGATGGTGATCTCCACTGTGTTCAAACACACGCCGCCGAACCTCAGAATTGCTCACGCGATGATGCCATCGAACGCAAGCAATCCTGCGGGGACAGCGGCGATCGAACACGCAGAGTTGCCGCACATCCTCAGCTCGGAGAGGCCAGGTCTCACAGGCGTAGAGCAGCGCAGCCCGCACCGAAGCATTGTATACCCGACCTTTGACAGCCAGGCTAACGTCGCGACGGCGCCAGAGGTGGTTCAAGTTGATGTATGCCACCCTAGCCTTCATTATACGGTTGGAATTCTCATCCGTCACCCCTCCGCCAGCACTCACACAACTACCCAGGTACACAAACTTATCAACAACTTCAAGCAATAGTGAGTGCAGGTACAGGCTCCTGCCAATCTTGTAACAGTATTTTGCACCTAGACAGCGCAAAGCACATACCATACTTACAGACACTGATCGCCAACTGATTAAGTGGGATTTGGGCAGCCTGCATGCTATCGCACAGTAAGACGATATCGTCTGCATACTCGAGGTCGAAAAGTCTATCTCCAGGTAGGAGATCTACACCACCTTCACGCACATCCTTCAGAGCTGACTCCAGAATGTCATCGATGGCAAAGTTAAAGAGGAATGGAGAGATTGGGCAACCCTGTCTTACCCCACTGTTGGTTGGGAACAGTGATGATAGTTAGTTGTATGCCCTCACTCTACCTGAGGTGTTTCTGTATAGGGCTTTCAAGATGTTAACAAATTTCTCAGGTACACCTCTCTCTAACAGACAGTTCCAGAGCACAGTTCTGTCCAACGTGTCGAAGGCAGCCCTAATATCAAGAAACACAACGATCGTTGGCCTGCAATACGTATGGCGGTGTTCCAACAACTGACGAAGGGTGAACACATGATCAATGAATCCACGACCTGAACGAAACCCAGCCTGCTCTTCGCGAATCAATCCTTCACGTGTTTTGCACAGCCTGCGAAACAAGACAGCAGCCAATATTTTAGACGCGACTGGTAGCAGACTGATGCCCCTATGATTGTCACATGAATTACGTCGTTCCACATTGATGGTACACTCTCTGTCTCCCACACCTTCCTGAACAACCCAGTTAGAGCCATTGTTAGAGTCTCACCACCATCTTTAAAAAGAGCCTGGGGTAAATTGTCCGGGAATCGATGTGTAAGGATGCATCGGACGGGAATCGAACTCCGGACCACGCACGTAGTTGATGAGCATTCTACCACTAGACCACCGACGCTCCCTGTTAAATATGCATCACTTTATTTGTTTCAGTGGTTATGTAAACCTGAGTGGTTCCACATGAATTTTAGTTACGTTTTCTAGTCAGTTACTTTGTAAATATTCCATCCCACAAGTATAGCGAATGTCTTAAATTAATCAAATAAATATCAAAGGTATAGATAATTTGGTTTTTAAATAGATGAAAGTTCCTTTAAATAAGCTCCAGTTGTTTTTTCAAAATACTCATAGTGAATAAATAAAACCTTTGCTTTATCTAGCAAAACTTTTCAAGAATGCCTTTATCTTGGATTTATGGAAACTATGGTGGTTTGAGTATCTACTTACTTAAAAATACTACAATGTAGGTGGTCCAGCCTTTCAAAAGTTCTCCATATTTCAAGTCAAATAACCAAACATATGAAATAGGGTAAAGTATTTTAATAAGCCAGAGAAATAATTTTCGATGGTAAATATTTGAGATGTTTGATAATTTTAGCTTTTTCAGTGGATATACTTACCTAATCACCTGCTTTAGCGAACTAACCTAATTATTCACTAAGTCATTATTTTGCTCACGATGTTCTGTCTCCAGGATTCTTTTTTATCACACTTCTAAAAGCACATATAATTGTCAGTATTTATTATTTTTTTTATTACAGCTTGTTTCCACACCGTATTTTTGGTACGCGTATGGAATTTTCAGCATGTGATATCGGTAGCCCAAGTTTTGCAGGCCGACCATAGATAACGGGTGTGCGTCGGCAGAGGATCGAACTCCGGACCATGTGCATGGTCGGCGAGAGTCCTAACCACTCTGCCACCGACGCACATTATTATTTCAGGAATATACTTCCTACTAGTAGTGCAGAGTATTTTGGTTGTAATACAGTGATGTTAAATCACTAACTCCAGGTGCTGTATGAAATTGACTAGTAGTTGTTATCAATTACAAACTGCATGCTCTCATATGTCTGGTTGTCTTTAGTTATAAGAAAAGTGCATAAGTCATCCAAAGGTTTGCTTGTGATTGCAGAAGCATATATTTCAGTTATAAGTTCACTCAATCATAATTTGTAGAGTAGGCGGAAGTATTGAAGGTGACGTAATAAAAACTACTATTCACATCTCAAACCACTTGAATTCTGGCTACATTACATTATGTCCTTCCCAATTAGTAACGTGTACTTGTTTGTGAATTCTTTCAGATGTTATGATATTGGATTCAGCTGCTATCAGGAGCCTAAGTTTGATATATTAATAAATATCGTATTTTTGGAATTACCTATACGATTACAGTGAGGTTCAAAAGTAATAACGACAGAAGTAGGGAATTTAGAACTCGAGTATTACGAAACATTCTGCTAAAGTTTTCTGCAAGGAAAACCAGTTTTTTCTGTCAAATTTCACTTTCAGGCGTAAAAAAATTACAGAAGGGTTAGTCATTTAGCTGATCAACAGTCTTATGCGAGGACATCAATTTTTATTTTCAACCATACTGTGGTATTGTAAAAATCTATCATTTCCGTTTACTTGTAAATATTCTTTTATACCAACGTGATAAAGACTAAAAGTAATGACGAACGACTTATAGAAACATTGCTCAGAGTAAGTGTATGATTGATTGACTCAGTGGTTATTGAAATTAAGGTACATAACAAAATTAGTTGTATTCTTTTAGCTTCTCACTAATCGTTATCAATTTAATAGACAGGGCTAATCCTACTGATTTGTTAAACGCTCAACAGACAGTGTTAAGTGTAAAAAACATCCTTTTGGTTTTATGTCCTTCACTGGATCTGTATAATTTAATACTTTGTAGAACTCTGGATAGTTCAGAGGAAGAGACAAGTGATACAGAAGATGGAGGATCTAAGTATACAAAGAAAAAGAAGACTAAGAAAAGAAAGCATCCTCCAAGCGAGTCCGGGGAATTTGTTTTCTCTTCAGATGAAATTGGGAATCATACAAACAAATCCACTAATAAACAGCATAAATCAAGTAAAAAACCACATTCTAAGAAACACAAGTGTTCTCATTCAAAAGAAAAAAAACGTCATCATTGATGAACTGGTCTTTTTCTCTCACTAACCAAGAACCCTTGTACATAATTCACCGTTTTTTATTACTCCTGTTATATAAGTTGGCTTAACCTCTTACACTGTAACTTATTTTGCTTTTAAATAAAATTGTAAAACCTGATAAAATTTATGTATTATATCACTGTTTGAATTTTTCGCGCTGTCTGTAAATGACAGTTGTACACGTCTTTTCACTGGTATTATGATAATCCAGTAGCAATTAGTATTTTATTTGATATGTGACATGAACTAACCCGGTCATTAATTTGTCTGGTGCATACAACTTGTATCCTAATGTTGTCGAAACTTTCCATTGTCATTCAGTTAACACGTACCAAAATATATGCTTATACGTGATGCCGTTACACCAATGTGATGTATTTGACTCTGGCTACTTTCAACGTAGAACCTTGCACAGATGTGCATTAGTTTGAGTTGCCACACTCCATGGTAAGAGAAGAAAGATAATGATGAACAGTAATGTGACAGAAAAAGAATAGTAATATAGAAGAAAACTGAAGTTCTATTGGATATGATAAATCACAAGGAATGGATGCACTTCTGCCAATGAGAACGACTTTGAGTCATATCACCAACTGTCTCCAGCCATTGATTCGTACCATCCCGAGGACCCCAACCAGGAAGTTTACATCTCCCTACGTGTCTCAGACTAACTGTTGTGGATTTCATTGATTGATGAGGCCATGTTTTGGTTTGACCACCACTAGCTAACTCTCTTCCAACATGTCAGCTAATATTGTTCGTCGAGGAAGGGGATGGCTAGGTACGCGTAACACACGTCTTCACCATCTCAATCGGTGTGACTTCACAGCCTCGTCGATTGATTTCCCCTCATTACCTAACACTCAACATTGCTCACCTTGTTATACCACCTAACACGGGAGTTAGAACGCAGGCACCTATGATCAAAGACAGCTAGTCATTTTTTCATGTCTGCCACTTTCAATGGTCATGTCTCACTCGCAGCCATAAAGGACGATGGATTGGACTGCTGAGTAGTACACACGTCCTTTGATCGACAGTCGGATATCACGTCTATGCCAGCGATGATGCTGGTTGGTAAGTGCCACACGAACTTTTTGTATCCATGCTGAGGTTACGTCAGTAATCACTCCATTAGTGCCGATGCAACTTCCCAAACAAGTAAATTGGTCAACACACTCTACTACTTCACTCCTTATCTTTAAAGCTAGGAGTTGATGTAGTCGATTCCTGTAGCATCATCTTATATTCGACAGGAGAAAATCACATACCAAACATTCGAAGATTTCTTCTTAAGGTGTTTAGAAGACCCAGCCTTTTGTCAGCGTCATCACCTAGAAGGACTATATCATCCGCATATTCTAAGTTAACGAGATTATTCCCTGGTGGTAATAAGTCAATCCCTGAGTCATTGAAGTCAGTTAGGGCTAAGTGCATCAGTACGTCTGTGATGAGATTAAACAGAAATAGTGACAGTGGGCATCATTGACGGACACCATTAGTTGTCACCACTTCAGATGACAACTCTCTGTAGACTCTCCACCTGGTTGCATGAGTTCGTTGATCAGTGCGATGCATCTTCTCGGCATTCCTTTCACGGCCAAACATCGCCATAGTACCTCTCAGTCGATGGAGTTGAATGTCTCCTTGAGGTCAAGAAATATGACAATTGATGGACGCCGGTAAGTATGCCTATGTTCCAGAATCTGTTGAAGGGTGAAGATAGGATGAATGAACCTCCTTCCTGTTCTAAGGCCTGCCTGATTTTCTCGTGTTTGTTTCTCGCAAGCACCACTTAGTCTGTGCATGATTATGGAGCCTAGAACTTTAGATAACATATTAGTCAAGCTAATCCCCCTGTGGCTATCACAGTGAGGCATGTCTCCCTTCTTGTACATCGGAATAATCAGTGACTTACACCAACCTGTCGGAACTTCCTCTGATTCTCAGACGCTGCCCAGAACCTCAGTTAATGCAGACAGTAAACTGTCTCCGTCATCATCACCTCTGGAGTCACTCCATCAAGTCCCGCTGCTTTGCCTCGTTTCAGACCAGTGACAGCTTTTGTAAACTCAGTTAGGGACGGAGGTTCAGTGTTTATATCCCATTCAGGGAGGTGTTGGGTAAGTTGAGCTGCGTTGGCTGTAGGCCAGTTGAACTGCTCCTCAAAGTGTTCTTTCCAACGTTCCAACCGTCTACCCTAAGGGCCAATTAAGGCGCCATTTTTCTCGGATATCGTTTCACTTATCGTTCGCCTTTTGCCACCTGTTCCCCTGATAAACCTAAATAGTTGTCTGGTGTTACCAATTGCCGATGCCTTCTCCATCTCTTTCGCTTTCGTCACCCACCACTGTTCACAGTCGTTGCGAAGACTTGTTACTTTGCGTATGAGCAGCTTTCGGTCCTCATTATATTCGGAGCTCGCCGTAATCAATCTACTTGCTTTAATCAGTTCTGATGAGGTAGTAGAAATCCACTGGCTTTTGGTTTTAGGTTGTTAACAGCCTTTACAGCTGTGTCTACAGCCAACTGTATGTTGTGCCAGGTTTCTCCAGGATGAGTCTTGCTGTCGATCTCAGATAGGCGTTTAGCTATTTCTTCGTTAAATAGGGAATCAGTGTCCTGGTCAAGTTGAGGGCGTAATTGCTTCGTAGCTAACTGTTTTTTATGTTCGTTTAATGGTAGGCACAAATGTGAGTGAACCAGGGCATGATTGGAGTCTACGCACGTTTTCCAGAAGTAGCAGCATGCTTCTGCTGTCCCTCGCCAACGATAGCCTATGTCTATGTGGTCTATTTGTGTCCAACGCTGATTTGTTGGTGAAGGTCGGTAGTTTACGTAGTGTCCCTCTTTGTACCTAAAGTTAGTGCTAACTAGGAACAGATGAATATCTGAACAGAACTGGACAAGACGGTCACTGTTGTTGGTTCGCCGGCGGATTTGTACGTTCTTGATATGTTACACACATTATTCTCTATTTTTCGTATGTCGAACTCGAAAGTTTATGTCAAGAAACAAAAATGAGGGAAATGAATCAGGTTAGTCGTGTTTGAAACTGTCTGTCTGGGTTGAAAATAGGTTATTGTGAAATGTTTTCTGAGGCTAAAGAATTACGGCAATTAATTCATAATATTGACGACTTCCATTGTTAGTAGGGGTAATATTAGTTATCGAAATTAAAGGATTGTCGTTCGATGTAAGAAAAATCATGATGTTATTCGGTTGGTAGTAGTGGTAGAATCCAGGATATGCGTCTCGTCCTATTTAGGAATTGTCATCTGCGTCTACACTGAGTGATAGTGTCCTCCTCATACAAGAGTTGGCTCTTATGGATAACACTTGGACATCTGAGATAATAGTTATCGGTTTTTCGAGCTGCAACGGGAACATTATTACTCTCTGGGGGTGCAGGGATACCCGACTGACAAGCCCCAAATAAGACGAAACAAACGTTTTTGGCTAAACTGCTGGCCACCATCAACTAAATAACATGTTATTCTGATGTCACCACTGAAATGCCTACATAACAACAGAGACCTAGAATTTGGGTTCAATGAAATCACTTGACAGGAATTCCAACAAATAATCGTTCTGTTAATCAATAGAGCGGAAATACTTCCTGGTAGATTAACATGAATTTACCACACATTATAACCACTTCAACTGTATATAATTTAATGAGACTGAGAAGTTAACGGAATACTCATCAAGCCGGTTAAAACGTTTTAAGCACTAAATTGCAGAATACAATTGAGAGGTATTCTGAAAAGATTCATTGATGAAAGAAGGAAGATCCAAGGGAATAAATGATATGGCGACGACATAACTGTGGTGACTGACCATTTTTTAACTTGATTATGTAAATGTTATCCATTCCTAATTATCGTAAAATACACACAATGAGAATAACTCAGTTGAATACGTGTTGTTACCTGGTTCACTAGTATCCGACCACTGTTCTTTATAGTCGCAAACAATCATCATTTTGGTATCGTGGGCAGCATCACATTAATCCAAAATTCCAATGAGGCTTAGGTTATTTAAATAAAAATTTAATGATCAGTAACCCTCAACCAACTAATTTTTCCTCGGAAAAACGACCAAGAAATATATTCCTTTTTCTCACTCCTCTTCTTAGTGAAGTTTCAGTAGTATTGTGATTTATAGTGTAGGCATGTAATCTGCATTCACATTATTTTTGTACTTGCAAACTTTCGAAACAACTTACCTTTAAGTTTAGATACAGCTGAACGTCACAACCACATAATCACTAATAAAAAGTCTTCAGTATCGACAAAGGTAGAGTATAGTGAAACAAAAAGGACTGTTTTATTTGTATCTAATAATTGTTGAGTTGAAGATATCATCGGAACTGTTAAATCAACAAGTCATTGGAAGGTGCCTCGAAATCTTCACCTGTCTGAATTCCTGGAACAATCGAATCGATGATGAATACATTAATTCGTACAATATTGTTATTTGTGTTCTAAATCCCATAATAAGTGGTTTTATGCAGTAAATCAATCAAGTTATGAAAATACACTGATTGAGATGTCTGGGACACATGTTGCTCTTGCGAAGTCGCCATCTGCCTAGAGGAGCAATGTAAGCTGAGATAGTACTTGGCAGGGAAAAAGTAATAGATGGTCAAATCAAAACATGGTATTTATCCAAGAGATCTTTAACTGTTGGTTGGTTTGAGCCACGTAGGGAGGTGTAGACTGCCTGGTTGTGTCCCATGGGATGTTGAGAGCCAATGACTCAAAATCGTTCTCAGTGATGAGAATGCATATCCATTTATTACTCATGTTACTATACTTTCTCCCGTACATTTCTGCTTATTATAGTTCATTAGAATCTCTCTTTTCTCTACATTTGTGTGCTATGCGGAGTGTGGTAACTTGGTCTCTTACGCTTCTGTGAGAAGTCCTATGTTGAAATTTAGTCATCTTTATGAGTCGGTCACACCTGAACTATGATTTTGGAAACGTTCATTCTCATCTTATCTAACTAACATTTCAGCTTACTTTCCAACTCCTTCTACCACTTGATGCTAAGTTTGAACTCAGTCAGTGATTGATGTATATCAATAAACCTAATCAATTGTACTCCTATGTTCGTATTGATGAAGTTGTTCCGTAAAGTGTACATCCTGTAGTTTTACTGATGCTTAACAGTTTCATGTATAGGTTCCATACACGGTAACTATTTTTGCAAGTAGTTAATGTAACCTAATACTATACAAGGTCGATTACAGAGGATAAAATCAATAGGTCAAATTGTGGTGGTGTGATACAGTCAATGTGTTCTAACTGAATATTATTATCATATATTCCCACAGTCAAATACTGCATTAGCAGTGGAATACTATTTGTATTTAAGCATTTTATTTCATGTAAACCGAAATCAAACGCTGCTTGATCACTTAAAATTATAC